AACTGCATAAAATTTTACCTGCCAAAATCCAACTGCCATTGCAAGTGTAGTTACAACTTCTAGATGGGTAGGTGGCCAATCAGTTTCTCTTTCTAGTGACTCATTTAAAGGACTACGACTAGTAAAATTCTGCTCTCGACTGACAATTGCACCCGATCCATATACTGCACTACTTAGCATTAAACTGATAACAGCAAATGTACCTAAAAGTACAAAGCCAAAATATAACGTAAAAATTTTTTAAAAATATACACAGATAAAAAAAATTTCAATTATCCTTCTATACATTTTTTATTAATTATGTCAAACAATTCCAATAATTATTTTTACTATTGACAGCTACTCAATATATTTTTTCTAAAAAAGTTCATGAGGATGAAAGATTATTTTTAAAATTAACATTTTCATAAACATGCTAAATTATAACAAACAGCCAAAATGTTAAGATTTTGGATGAAAAATTTAGAATTTTAAGACTTCCAATTTAGGCATAGAAAATGATTTGATGCAAGCAATAACAATATTTTAAATTCATAAAAGATTAGAATGAAAGCATTTTGACTATTCATTTAGATATACTAGTACAAAAAACTTTTAGAAGAATTATTTAATTAGGGTGGGGGGGACTATAGGGGGATAATGAATTTTCTTGGCTCATCAAACAATTTAATAAAAGTGTGTGTTTTTTTTTTAAGTTCCTTTTTACAAACTCAATTAAAATTACTCCTCATTTTTTTAAAAAAATAAAATTAGATATAACATTTTTAAAAATGTAATCAAAATAACCTACCAACTGATATATGCCTAGATGTTCCTAATAAAAAATAAATTAGAACAGGAAAGAAGGAAACATATAACCCATTCTCAGCTTTTACAGCAGCAAGAACACCATATGCCATGCCTAAAAAAGATTAAACAAATTCATTCTAGTTAACAAATTTTACAAGACTTCAAATGAAAAAAAATTAACATAAAAACTGTTTTATAATTTGAGTCCTTACCTATTTGTTTTATATTGAGCTTCTATTAATCTAAAATTAATTTTCCAAACAATTTATTATGTTAAAAATTAACAATTCTGATATGTTTCCATTTTTAAAAATATTTTATTTGAAAAAAAAAAAATCTACACAAAGCACCAAAAGCTATTTAAAAAAGCTCATAGATCACATGTGCAGAAAATATGAATATAGAATAAATAAATATAAAAATATAATGTTTTTTTTATTGGATTTTAATACTGTGTATAATATGTGTGTGAAAATAAGTCTTGCATTTGTTCATTAATGAATATTTTTATAATTTTACATTTATTATTTTTAGACAAACAGATTTTCTGCATAGTTCATTAACAAAGATAGAATTAATCACTAGGATTTTAAGACTTTTTATTTGCAACAATAATTTAAATACATAAATTTCTAAATATTGATATAACAAGAACAGCAGTAAGAAAAATCTTAGGAAAGACTGACATATATACATAAATTTCCTCTCTAATCTTATTAATTCACATTACTTTTAACATTAATTTTTTCAAGAATATAAATAACTTTCACATAATAATAAAAACATTTCCAGAAATTCTAATCAAAATGCAATTTGGTAAAAAATTCAATTTAATAAGCACTTTTCTAGAGAATAAATACACTAGAAATATTGCACATCTAGTTCCTTATAATAAATATGCTGTAAGTTATTACACATTATACTTAAACAATGGCAATACATTAAAAATTATATTAAAATTCAAAGAATTTAAAGTTCCACTTACCTTGTGGAATATGAAGAATGGAAATAGTGAAACCTGCTATGAGATCTGGTATTAAAAATTCTCTTTTGTATTTTGGCAACCAACTTAATATTGGAATCAAAGAAGTGATAAAAGAGAGAAAACAGGCCATACTGCAAGTACATCTTGATCTTAAGTACTTAGAAGCCTAAAATTAAATAAATATATAGAAAAAATAAAATTTTATATTATTTATAAAAGTATCACTAAAAATTTACTTTGACACTTAGTACCCATTAAGCACATACATTAAATTTCTAGAACTATCCACAAAAATTACTTTCCTATTTTTTTTTTCATTATTAAGTAAAAATCCCTCATTTAAGTGAACAACTCTAAGCTGAAGACACGTTAATATAATGGTCATTAAATAATAATTTTATTTCAAACATATAAGAGTTTAAAGCAAAAATAAATTTAAGTTCTTAAAAGAAAAAAATATCAATAAAGAGCTTAATATTTTTCATCACGAACCCAAGAACTGTATTAGTGGTAGTATAAAAACAAATTGTATATAATTCACTTATTTTAAATTAAATCTAATAATGAAATTTGAGAATTCTCATTAATATTATTAATAGTTAATAAAAATAAAATCCCTAATTAAAAATAATTCTAATATTGATTTGTTTAAATTTATAAATATTTAAGTATTTCCTTTTTTAAAAATCCCATCGAAACCTTAAAACAAATTCACAAAAATAATTTAAATATTAATTTGTTTAAATTCATAAGATTTCAAAAAATTTCTTAAAAAAATCTTAAGATAACTTTTAAATTTTTTTTACAATTGAAATTCTTATATAATTATATAAAAGGTACCTTTTCATATGTTGTTTCAGAAGGCACCGGCCCGAATTTTTTATCGATGTAGGAATTATCAACAGGACTTCTGTGAATGGATATTCTACCCTCGCTTTTCGTTCGTTTTATTCCATTCTCCGTAATGCTTCCACTCATGCTGGGTCTACTACGCTTCCAACTTCGTTCAAGGTCAGAAGGTGATAATGTGAAAGCCATATTAAAGAATGAGCTATCGACATTATATGGTTCATTATTTGAGTTAGTAACCTGTTTTCTTCTGACACTTCCATGTCCTGATGCATCACTGAAAGATGCACGGTGTTGACAGTCGGTTTCTTGATCGGCGGAACAGCTGTTTTCATGTTTGACATTTGGGCTTGATGAAAGAATCTTAATTCTCTCAGAATCTGTTAGTGCATCACCATCTGTTAAAAAAATTACAGAATCTTTAGGCATCAATTATTAAAACAGAAAGGATTCTTTGAAGATCAAGGTTACTTTATTTACTTCCACCGTGGTTCATTCGTATACCCACAGTGGTTCTATTTCTGTTTGTTTTGAATGAACTTCTGATGCTATTTTTGTTTCGGAGAGGAATAGATTCCGGCTTTCACCAATCTTGTAAGTTTTTATTATTTTGGATTTAGCTGGATTAATTGGATTCGATTTATATTAAATTATTTTAGAAATTATAATTACTTCACAAGTTTTTACTAGTCAGGGGAGAATGTATGAAAAAAATTATCTAAAGGTAAAAGGAAACTTTCCTTCAGAATTTTTTCAAAATAACTTATTTCCTAAGAAGAAAATCGTAAAAATAGTGACCTTAGTTGGAAAATATTGAAGATAAAAATAGTTCCAGAAATCGCTAACAATAAAGCAAGACACATTTCATCAAAGTACTTTCAGCCTCAGGAAAGTAGGGGCCGGCACAGATGTCGACCTCTTCATCTGACCGTTTAATATTAAGAGCAGTAACGTCTTATGCTTTCTTGAGTCCCTGGGCTCTTATGCAAAAGTAGGTCCGACCGACAACTCTTCTAAGTACAGTACATATGAGGTCAAGTATACTTGCAAAAAGAAGACAAATAAATGGGTGTGACTCACAATCTCACAAACCTAGGCACAGACCAACTCAACCGACTGTCAGCTTTCAACTAAATGAGTACTAATGTATAGTGATAAGCCAAGACACGGGCTTGGCATTGTTTCCAGTTGGCATATGGTTCAAAATTCCCAGTCCTTTGTGGAACGTCCGGAACTGCAACATTTGTCGATTAAAGTTATTCGGATCCCGATCTTATTGAAGCCGAGTCAAGAAAGAGTCGAGGTCCTCCCGAGGCCTTGGTATCCTTTCCCATTTGGCCCATGACGACCTACCTGATGAAAAAGCGAATAGGTGGAGGTTTAGTGCCCCCGTAATGAATTGTAAAAATAAGCGACAGGAAACATTAAGCGAGTTTCCAGCTTCTTCTAAACGCTGTGTTTTTTTCGCATAGTTTTAAAGAATTCAAATAAAAGTTGCACGAAAGTAGACAAATTCTATTTTCATAAAACAAAACATTATGTCTCTCGCATTGGCCTCTCTTTTTTTTTATTAACGCTGTACTCTAAAGCAACGTGAAAGCTATTGGTGACGAACCTCGTAATTTTGAACCATGGTCAAGCGATGAAGAGGACACCTGAGCTGTGGTACTCCCTATGCGAACTACCACATCTCACCAATGGGAGGACCTTTCAGCCTCGACAGATTCAACATGCAGCGGCCCCCTCTACATGGCAGGTCTTTAGTGGCACTAGGCTCGAAGTCATGTTATACAGCATAGTGTGAGTGGTTATGGTCACGTGCTCGTGAATATAACCACTAGGCTACAGCGGCCCCTTTGTAAATAGGAAGTTTCTTGTTCAGAAAAGAGCGCAAGGTATATTTTGCACTTCTTTTATCCTCGAACTTTTTACTGTCATCAGTGACTCAATTTTCATCTAACTGAGTCCCTTCACTACATTTGGATGTTTCTACACGTTACTCTTTCATCTCAGGTTTTAATCTAGAGAGACTTTTTAACAGACAATTATAATAAATTGTAAATGATTAATCTAACAAGTAAAATAAAAAAAAATTTAATGTAAAAAAATTTTTAAGTCAATTTTTACTTAGGTCAACAAAGAAATTTTTTTTATTTTAGTTACTTTTTTATTAAATAGCGTTACAATTAATATGTGTATATATATGACAGAATGACATATTAAGTGACAAGATAGAAAGTGAGATTTTCCTTGTAATTTTCCATTTTCCTTTCGATATATGGCGTTCTGGACTATATTTGCTTGTTTGTTATAATTCATTCATAAATTAAATTTAATTATTCTAATAAAATAGTATAGTCATTCTCAGAAATTGGACCATTCCAGGTAGGATTTGAACCCACGATCTTTGGATTAGAAGACCAACGCGTTATCCATTACCCCGTAGGTACACAACGAACGATTTTCCTTTCTATTTATGCTGTCAGACTATTATTTTTTGTTTGTTAGTATTTATTCCTCTTTTGATTTAATTAATGAATTAATATTTGAAAAACTGTAGTAACAACAAGTGTCATCCACTGCAAGTTTAAAAAAAGGCATTTGAACTTGAATGGTTGAATAGAAAGTATTTCTTTAAACGATTGAAAATTTGAACACGATATACATTTATAAATATATATAAGGAGAGAGTGAACTAATAGTAGGGTTTAAAAAAGCATTGGACATATTAATTTTATGGAAAATGTTCAATCATAACTATGTGTTTTTCACTGCACATTAGAGGTAATATATTACTGCCCTTTTCATAGCTATCATTTTGTTAATGAAGAATTAGAACTTAAACTTGTTTAAAAATTAAATTGCGGCTGTAAAAATTATTTCTGTTTTTAATGATATTTTTATAAAATTTATTCAGTTTAAATATTGAATTACGCACACATGGAGAGTCGGTAGTATTTGAAACATTTAAATAAAAATTATAATCTTTAGGATATATTTATTTAAATATAGAAATTATTGCTCAATATACATAGCATACATAAATTAAACTGAATCATTTTCTTATTTACTATAGAAAGTACAACATGAAAAGTTTTCCTGATCGCAGATAAAGTAAAATATTTTTAGGTACTATATAAATTAATATACAAAACAAGAATCTTTCTTATAAAATCTATATTTTTAACAATCGTTTTTGTTTAAATAAAATCACCCATAAATAATATTTTAATTGAAATTGTTATTTTAATTAATCCATTGATTTCTTCAAAGCAAAAGAAAAATATAAGTTGCATAAAAATATCAAAAGACAGTTTTTGCGCAATTATTTCAATAATTAGCAAGTAAATGTAATTTTAATTAACCTCGAGGAGGTGAATTACTTATTCGATTACTTATTCTGACATTGCAAATATTTTCTGCCATCCAAATATTTTCGAGAAATTCGATAGAAAAGTCAAATTAATTTTTGGGGCTTTCAGCCCATCAATGACAAAAATTATATTTCATAAACAGAATGGAAGCATTTATTCGGCGAAAAACTAAATTAGAAAATATTTTCGCTTTTTTAAAAATAACACATTTAATGTATAATCAGTCTTAAGCAAATACAACCAATTTTTATACAATAAACTGCTTAGAAAAATTCTGTAGGCGTTGCGATTTTAACTCGACTAAAAACTGTATAGTTTCCTGTGAGGTCAAAAGTGACGGGAAAATCCAAGGTGAGGGATATTTGAGGAATTTCAGCTGTGTAATTTGGTAAACATCTGCGTGAATTACTAGGTCAGTTTGTTTTCGAGTGAGGGGTATATACGTACACTTTTGTTGTGTTTTGTTGATGTAGAAACTTAGATGGCATGCGATGCAGAAGACTGTGGATTTCAAATGCTAAATAATGACGAGATAGTGACTTCCGTGCAAGAAGAGTCCGAACCTGTCGACGATAAAACGGATGAAGATGAGGACAACAACAATGAAAGTAGCAAGGGTCCATCAAATGCAGACGCGTTTCTACTTTAGAGACAGCTATGGAGTGGTACGAACAACAATCAGAGAGAGTGTTGTCCTACTCAACTACTACTGCTCAAGAGAATCAGAGACCTTGCAGTGAAAAACGAAGGTGTACAATGGTACAGCGAAAAATAAGTGATTATTTTCCACAATCAAGGTAAAAATGCAACATTTTGCACCTATTTTGCCTTTTCTTTTCAAGCACGTTTCCCGCATGTGATGATTTTTAATATTTGTATAGTGTCCAGTATCATATACCGCATGGTTCGCATTCGGTTATCCGAACAATCGCGAATCCGAACGGATAATTTTTCCTGAAGAGGTATAAAAATGTTTCATTTAACTTTGATGTTTTTTATTACATCGTCATAAATTAGTATAGTTTTAAAAATATGTAAAATTTAAAAAGTGCTGAATTTTAAAAGGTAATGAAAAAGTAATACTTCTTTAATTACGTATGCAAGGGTTGCGATAAACCAATGATTTAAATCGCACTTCGTGGGATTAATGTTGCATTAATACATCGTCGACACACACAATCCCCATCTTATGCCTTAAACACTATTATAGAAAAGAAAATGAAAACTGATATATATGAGAAATCGAATTGGGCTTTTTGAGGAAGATTCGAGCATGGTGATTAGAGGGAGCATGAATTCCCTCCTTTGTTATTAAACAATGTTACTAAATTACGAAAGTTTTCCACCGATAACTTGTTCTGTTTAAGAACGACATTAACACAAAGAAGCTTTGATGGTGTAAATGGTGGATTTGATGGATCTTTGACAATTTAAATGCAATTATTAATGGATGTTTTTAGTGTAGACAATAAATGAATGAATTTTTCCAAATTGAATACTTTAATCTTAATTATATTCTCAGTATTTTGCATCGAAAATGAAAGCTGAGTGACATATCATAAGTAGCAAATATCTTACTATATTTGCATCATATATGTGTGTATGCAGTTTCCTGTAATGCATATTTAAATCTAATCAAGTTAAAAACAACAGATAACAAATTTATACAACCACATGATCAAACAATAAGCAAATAAAAACTATTTAGAGATCCAAACGTCACTAAATTGTCAATTAATGATTTAATAGAAAAGATAAACACAGTAACACAGGAAATACATATAATTTTGTAGAAAATTTCGCTACTTTTTCCCATTTAAGATTCTTTTTTAAATCGTTTCATTTTGATTTCATTTTGTAAATCATTTATATACATACATATATAACATTGATAATCATCATATTGATTTATTAAAAATCGGATTTTTCTTAGATAATTCTGAGCAAATACGAAACATTAAAACTTTCCTACCTTCAGTCCACATAAAAATATCGAATAAAAGAACATTTTTTCAAAACTATTTAAGCACAACTAAAACTTACTACAATACAATACTGAATGTTCTCCACTGGAAACCATCTGTGCATTTAAATAAAAAGGAATTTTTTTTTTCGTTTAGAGTAAAATAATATGTATAATGTGCAACATACATCTACTGAGACAAAGCAACTCTACGAAAATTGAGTAACAGTGCTATGAAAATGGAAGGAAATGTTTGACAAAGTATGCAAGACGGATTTTTGGAACTTTCAACCAATTATATCGAAAGAGTGCGATAGAAAAGCATGTGACATTTTACTTAGAACTTACATTTGATAAATCAAGGCCGAAGAAAGTGGTTGTGCTATTTGTGCAATGATAAAATTTAAGAAAAGAATCTGCTTGAAGATATTGTTTCGTTCAAAACAAGCCGATGAACTGATGAAATATAGCTTTGATTTAGTCAAATTCAAGATTAGGTCTACAAATAGGCTATTTGATCTTTTATTCTGAAGGTAGAAGGACTACTTCAGTTAAAGACAGAATTTTTAAAAATGGAATACGAAATAAACGTAGTATTACAGCAGAAGTGGCCAACCTGTGGCGCGGTGGAGTTGTGACAGTGGCACGCGAAGGCTTACTGAATTTTTTTTTAAATTTTGAAAAGATTAACTATTTTTCAAAATTAAAAATTTTGAGAAGATAAATAACCATTTTATACAATTTTATTGAAGTGGGTTTTGCCTCGGAAAATTGCAAAAATTCGATCAAAATATGATAGTGAATAAATGTTTTCTGCTACGAACATTATAAAAAATGTCACTCAAAACTAGCTGATGTGCTTCCATAATAACATAATTTTGTTAGCATCTGCAAGAGCCAATCTTAATATAGATGACTTGGTAAAAAAAAAAGTAGTAATTCAAAACCCACATTAAGTAATGGGTGTTTAATAATTATTCTGAATTAAATGATTCAAGTTGCTCATTTTTATTTTATATACACTCAATAGCCAAAACATTATGACCACCCCTACATTTTGCAATGAACTCGCCTGGATGGCGTGGAAGGCACGTGATTAGGTGGAAGTGGTATTTAACTGCTGCTGGAGAGTGAAGAATCATTCTTTCACTTACTTCTGTGTGTGATGGGCAAGGCTGCGGATCTAAGCGACTTTGATAGAGGGCAGATTGTAATGGCTCGAAAGCTCGGAACAAGTATTTCCGAAACTGCACGACTCGTGGGTTGTTTGCGATCTACAGTTGTTAGTACTTATGCAAAGTGGATGAATGACGATGAAACCAGCAGTAGACGACATGGTGTTGGACGTCCACACGCTATCAAAGAAAAAGGTCGTCGGAGACTGTCTCGCATGGTGAAGCAAAACAGGAGCCAGACAGTGGCTCAGCTGACAGCCCAATACAATGCAGGGACAAGTAGAATAGTATCGGAGCACACTGTTCAGCGGACACTGTTGGAAATGGGGCTACGCAGCAAACGTCCCATTCGTGTGCCTTTGCTGACAAAGCGTCATCGCATACTGCGCTTGCGCTGGGCCCGGGAACATCGCGTCTGGTCTATGGATCAGTGGGAGAGAGTTGCCTGGTCAGAAGAATCACGGTTTGACATTCATCACGCCGATGGCCGTGTCAGGATACGCCGTCTTCCAGGCGAACAGTTGCTCCCTCAATGTACAGTAGGTCATACACAGGCAGGTGGTGGCGGTATTATGCTTTGGGGGACGCTCTCTTGGGCGTCTCTGGGATCCGTTGTGGTAAAGCAGACCATGAATGCTACAGGGTATCTGAACATCATTGCGGACCTGTTGCATCCTTACATGGCCTCTTTTTTTCAGCTGGAAATGGAATGTTCCAACAGGACAACGCCCCGTGTCACAAGGCTAAAATTGTGTTAGAGTGGTTCCAGGAACATGATGCTGAATTCCAGCTAATGTCCTGGCCACTTAACTCACCGGATCTCAATCCGATAGAACACATTTGGGATGTCATGAAACGGCAGCTCAGAGCTCAAAGACCACCAATTCGCAACATCTCGGATTTGCGTGACCGTTGCTTAAACATCTGGTACA